ACTCCCAGCATGCCCAGCGGTACTACGAGCGCCTAGGGGCGCTTCCTCCTCACCACCAGGCGAGGGCGTTACATTATTATTATCTTCAGATTGTGTCTCATCTCGTTTGCTGACCGCTTACTCCTGGTGGGGTCGCGGTGGTAACTTAACACTGCTGAGGAGGGCTGACAAGACTCCCCTTTCCCACCCACAGTCTCCAGCTCCTCCTGGGGGATTCCCAAGGCCAGCTGAGAGAGAGAATCCCTCCAGAGCGTACTGGGTCTGTCCTGGGGCCTCTTCCCAGGGTGTTGTGCCCAGTACACCTCCAGTAGAGCAGTTTAGATACACTATCAAGCGTAACTTACAGCACACGAGTTTAACAACTGTGCTTTATAGTTGATTTTCTATTCTGAACAATCAGAATTCTCTACATGTCCCATGATATCAGGATGATGTCAGAAATCTAACACCAGAGCAAGGATGTCTGCTTAATGTTCACATAGGCTGTAATTTTAGGAGTTAGTCATTGATGATCTGCATTAACATTACAAGACCAAGTGAAGGCCATAAGGGGTGGTACAAATCAAGTTACCTGGATGAATGGAGCACGTGTGCCTGTATAGTTTTGGAATCACGTGTGTTGTAAGGATGAAGATATCCGCAAGGCTGTGAAGATGCCCATCCAGCTACTTTTATTTCACAACACACCAGTTCAGCCAAGTAATCTACCAGTACTTAAATAGGAATATAAACTGCATGAAGATTAGCAATCGGTTTCTAAAAGTGTTCCCAAATTAGCGAAAATACAGTGGTGTTAAAGTGAAAAATCAAGTATCCTCACATGTACAGTAGCACTGTAGGGCTGGTGAAAAGGAATTGGAAACGTAATTGACATACTCCCTGTGCAATGTACTATAGTTCCGTTTTAATGGATTAAAGATGAGGGTACTGTGTCCTCCACCTGTGCTCTAGGAAACCTATTAAAATGTGTTGAATCTCGCAGAAAAGGAGCGTTCGGCCTGTGTGTCCAAGTAATTTAGTTTAATCTCTGCATTGGTAGGAGTCTTCTCTTTCACGGCTTAAAATTAATGTGGTTTAATATTTCTGTCTTTAATATGTATTCATTTCTGTCTTCTGCTAACAGAATAGCCACCCATTTTCTAAGCGCTTCTTCCAATTCAGGAATGATTCCCAGGGGTGCTGAAGCCTATCCTGGGAAACGGTGGGTGCAAGGCGGGGTACGCCCAGGGGTGCCACTCGATTGTGTGGCAGACACAGACCTAGACCCACACACTCTCACAACAGGGCCAGTCTTCCCAGTTGCCAGTCAACTTACCAGTATGTTTTTGGATTTGTGCGAAACCAGGGAGACCAGACAAATGCTGCACGGATAGCACTCCAGGTCTGGAATTGAACCCGGCGCCCCAGCACTGCGAGGCCGCAACTGCTAACCATTGCACCACCATGCTGCCTGCTAACAGAATTTTTTTATTCCTGTCACTTAATACACTAGAGGCCCCATTTCTCAGGTTTTCTTCAGAGTGGTGTGCTTTAAGTACAGTTACAGTAGATTAAGCCACTGTTACCTGTGAATCTCCCTTGGAATTGAAATGATTTGCCAGTGAAAGTAAGGGCCATTGAATTTGCTGGGAGTCACCTGAGGCATGAACAGTGACCTACTGGACTAGTAGAAGGAGTCGATACTACACCTTCTGGGCAACCCCTGCTTTAATGAGATTACTCATTACATAATAGAATTAGAGAGGTTGCATTTAATAAGCTCCTGGTAATGGTATGTGCTGTAAATAGCAGGGTCCATCGAACGCACACTGCGCTAGGCTTTTTTTTTAAGCAGATAGATTTTTGTATACTGGCTTTATTTAGGTCACTTGATAAGGTATGCTTTAAGTTTTGTGTTTATTATTAGAATTCCGATGAGGACCACCAGCACTAGGGTGAAAAGATGGTTTTCAGCACGGCAGTTCACTTGTTGATATCCAGTTTATACAACAGGGATCTCCTCTGAGTTTTGTATGGCTCAGTTCCTCATATCCCCACAGTAATGCAGTGATATGCTGAGCTGCAGTGGAGGGAAAAATCTAAAGGGGGAGCATGTTAAGAATTTCATCCCAAGCTGTTGCTTGTACTTTGTTATCGAAGCCAATCGCATCAATAAATTGTTTTGCATTTGAACAGTTTGTTTTATAATGTCTATGTGTAAGTTTCACTTTTAGTCAAGCTATATGGCACACATTAGTACTTCTGTGCATAAAATATTTTATATATATATACAATATATTAAAAATGTAAAAGTTTTATCAAAAGTTAGTTTTCAATGTCATACAAATAATTGTTTCATCAAATCATTTTCTATGCTAGTGATTTAAAAAGTAAGATGCATTATTTCCTGAATAAGCGTTAGAGCAATGACAGTGCCTGAAAAATAGCTAATATGACCCATTGTTTTTTTTTAAATGGCCAATTGTGTCAATGAACAGGGCATTGACCTACTGATAAATATTCTGGCAACAGCTCTAGCTCGCTCATACCCACGACATAGGAAAATTCCAAAAATCTAGCTCTACGCCCTGTTGAAAGTGCGCACAAGTCTCTGAAAGTCTGGGTGCGTGCCTTTCTAATTCCTAAACATTACTACTTGATCACCTGAAATGTGAGGAAACCAGTTTGTGGAAGAGTGAGAATTAAAGGTAGGACTGAGAAGACTTAAAACTGCCTCTTTTGGTTTATTTATTTGGGGGCCTTCAGATAACATCAAGTCATCTCTTTATCCTTAACAATGCCTATTTTGCACTGTATCTCACTAGGTGTATATATGACTGGGAAAATAATATAAATAACATCTTCCCATTTATCACTTTACTGGTCCCATAATAAATTAATCTATCCTCAGAAGGACAAGGCTATCTTTGTTTCTCTTACAAAAGATTTTTGAGAACTGTGCTTTTATCTTTGTAAGGCTAGAAACCATTTCGTCAGCATAATTGTAATCCTAATTCTTCAGTGAAAAGCTCTGCATGTGGGATTTCAGAAGTCTGTAGAAAAAGGGCCACCTGAAGACTAGTTAATCTTTTCATTATTTAATTCTCTTTATTTCAACATACAAACCTATCAGTTTCATTTACAGTTTCGCATATCCCGTGAGATTTTTTTTTCTTTTAAATGCTTATAATACATTTTTAAGAATTAAAAGCTGAATATGATTTAGTTTTCTAAAAACTATAGTTTTCCTTCAGTGTTTATCTTCCTGTATTTTTACCAGGCTTAATATTAAACATTTTACACTTAAAAAACAAGTTTAAATTCCCTTCTCAACTAGTCCATGCTTATCCAGTAGTCAAAGTCACTTGTGTTTATAGTAAATGGACAAATTAATCAAAATGACACCAAAATCATTTAATCAATATCCAAATACTGAGAAGAACCAGAATCCAGAGAACACCCATGCATAAATAAAATAGATTTTTTTATTTATTTTCAGTATGGATCTCTAGAAAGTTTGCTAAGTTCCTTCATTTAAGGGCCAACTTTAAAAAGAACCATTACTCAAAGCCATAGGAATCCATATAGTCTTGATAATGTTTGCACATTGATCAAGAACTGATCAATGTGCATACATTAAACAACACATCATTTTAAGGGCCAAATTTGTAACTTGGCAGATGCAAGAAGTGGTTTACCACAGGTAAAGAATATACAGCAATTTAGATTCTTAAATAATTGATAATGTAGTTACATTTGTAGAAGTTAGGAAATGGGGGAGTTGCAAATTGGGCTGGCCGGACACTTGACTGATCAAGTTTTAATGCTGATAAGTGTTTTTTATCACATTAAGAATAGTAGAAATGACACTATATTCATCCCCTGAATGATTTGGAAATGCAAGAAAATCCACATGAAAGGGATATGGGTGTTTATGGAGATTCTTCTATGTACTAATTCAAAAGAAAGTGGGGAAGTAATGGAAAAAGTAAACAGAAGGCTCAAGTATCTAGCAAATAGTGTGGAAATGAAACCTTAGAGAGTTATGGCGGTGAACTAATGAGACTTTATTTACAATAGGTTTCAGGTTTGATTGCCTTATCACAAAAATTATATTGTGGCTTTCCTGGACTCAGAAGATTGCCATATAGGTTTGTACGTGGCTGGGTGGCTTGTTTTATACTCCCAAAACCCTATGGGAAAACAAGTGCCTCATGTTCTTGGATTTAAGTGCATTTTCATATAACCTTCACTTGTGTCTGGTTCCTTTTTCACTGTTGATTCTGAACCTGTCCACTTGTTCCACTTTGTCAGGGCCTATGTATGAGGATTTTGAATACTGTGTTTGGGTCAGATCCCTTTCTTTTCCTTCTGTGTTCCTAACTAAAAGGGTTAGTTCTTTAAGCCTGTCAGTGTAGAACAGTCCGGGAATGTATCTGACTGCCAGACTGATTCCAGAACAACTACAGTACGTAGCACATTCCACAGCACATTACCTAGATCATAGTGACTGCTGATTTTTCAAATAGTCTTCATATTCTTGTTAATTTTTTTTTAAATGTTACACCAGTGACTTTAGGAAAAAATGGGATGGATTACATTGTGAAAGTAACTTACCACAACACTGTTCAATATGATTTGGGAATGTCCTGTGATACAGTAGACTACTTCCAGATGTGTGCAGCTGGTTTACTAACTGGAGCTTCCAGCTGCTCCTGCTCAGAGCACTAAAACTATTCATGGAAATTGATTTAAGCAAATTAAGCTTTTTTATTTGCGAAGGGCTGTATTTGGCCTTCTTTAGACTAGTTAATGCAGGAGTTCAATTCCACAATTAACCAGTAGATGGCACACTAGGTCTGGTATTACTGCCGTGTGGATGACCTTGTAATGTACTTGATTGAGCTCAGTGTTGCAAGGTTTCGTCGTCAAGGCTATACACAACTAAATTTCTAGACTGCCTTGGAAGGTAAGAAAACTTGAGGAATACTTAAATAATTGGCATAAATCAGGTGAGAACTAAATGCTTGTTAACAAATGCCGTGTCCTTAAACAGTTTACTGTTAATGTTTTAGTTGTGTAATTGCTAGTAAGTTTTCAAGGTTTCTGTTTTGAAAACTTAGGATTCTTAGAATTAAGTAAACGAAATTGATTAATACATTTTGCTGTGATGGTACGTCTGAGTTCTTGATCAGTATTTGTGAAGTTTTGACTTTTGTATCTGAAGTTCACTTAAAATGGTTCACCAAGAAGGAACACTTAAGTCGTGTAGCCTAGAGCTTTTTTACACTGGCTTACCAAAAAGGAGAATTACTGTATCCTGGTACGGTATTTGGTAGCATACTGGTAATAAGTTCAAGTGGGGATCTGTGTCAGTTTCAAAGGAACAAGTAAAGATTAATATACAGCAGAAAAGTAGGAAAAAAAGAAACAAAATGTTGACTGAGTCTTCTTCAGAACTCCGTTAGGATACATTGTTGCACCTACACACCCATACTCTCATAGGACTACATAATAATCTACATAATAAGCACATGGATTTAAGGGACTCATGATTTTGGCAATCATAAGGGTCTGTAGACTCAAGCTCATAACCATACCTATTGTACAGGGAACATTTTATAGTTCCTATTCCAAACAACTCCCTGACGGACTGTGTACTGTAGGGGCCCTTACTGCCCCATAATGACCTGAGTCACCTGTAACCCTCCATCCCAGATTTGGAGTATGCTGGAGGAACAAAACCAATTATAAGTCAAGGAAGGTGACAGCTCACTACTTTATACTGTATATACTGTATACAGGCTATTTTCTTGGTAAACAGTCATTTTGGGAATCCTGTCAGAGCTCGTTTTCCAATCTAACAGTGACTTGACAGGAAGATTTCAAGCTTCAGGAAAGGAAAGTGCTTTATTGTTGAGCTTGTCATTTTAGAGTGTATCCTTTACAAGAGGTTAAAATAGCTTTTTGTGTTAAAGTTAAATACTAGTAATGCTGGCCTGTGCCTGTTACAGTATCAATTTAATAGCTAACTAAATGTTACCCATGTCCTCTTCCAGAGGGAACAGATTAAAAGACAGAAGAACTAGAAGCAGAAATCTGTTTATTGTAATGTCATGGTTTCTGTTTAACGTTTTCTGGCATTTTGTCAAAATATTGACATACATATATACAACAATAGTTTAAGAAAAAAGATTGCATTTGTTGAGAGCATTGTTGCATCCAGCAACTACATGACACTGTCCTGACCTCTTTTATGGTAAAGTGACATTTCATGTAAGTCCAAAAGAAAAAAGTGTATAATGGAAGAGAGCCAGAGATGCAGCAGCATTCTGAGCCACAGAACCTTCAGCCATTCAGAACCACAGAACAGGACATGTCTCCCACCAGTCACTAAAAATAGGCAATTCTACATTCTCATGGACAGAGCAGTACAAGACAAGTCTACAACAGACTGTCTTTCAAATTAATCTCATTCATTCATCTGAGAACTCCATGAAATGATATATTAATTGTTCTTTATCTTTCATTACATTTCTAAAGTGATACATTTCTAACGTAATTGCTTTTTTTTCCATAACCAAAAGTGTACTATAGCACAATTCTAACTTTGCCTTCTGTACTATTTGTTTTAAGTTCCCATCCTTGCTGTCTTGATATTTAAAACATTTCTATAACGATTAGAATCTGTATAGATTACCGTAGGAATTGTATAGTAAGTAAAACAACAAAATGACTGATGAATTCTGCTAGTTCAAGTGAATGTCAAAACGACAGCATTTTGTTAATACTGGAAAGTGGTAATAAAAATTATATTTCGTTTTTAGCTTGTACCTTTCCAAATTGTGCTTTCCTGAAAAATAAAAAGGGTGAAATGCATGAATGACCTTTCTAGATTAGCAATGCTGATATTAATTAAAAGGTATGGAAAGTGTATGGAAATCATTAGAAAACTCTACAGTTAAAAGTGAACAACTACCAGTTAAAATTCCCAAATATAATTAATGAAGACCTAATGTTGGCTACCTGAGATGTGTGCCAGGAGATTATCTCTAATACATGTTGTGAGGGACTGGATGTATTGCAGGACAGGATCCAAGGCTGAGTGTATGGAGGGACTAGCTTGAAGGAGCAGGCAAGGTTGGCAGTAAGAGAAGATTGGGTCATTGAGGATACCACGTGTCAGTCTCCTGCTTCATCCTCCTGGAGTTAAAAATAGTCGTATTGGTGGGAACAGTCTGTCGCAGCAAGAACTGATGTCGAAATATGGAGTGTCAACACCAGGGTGACAGTGAGCATGACTGTCTTCACCACCACGTCAGTGTCTAAATTCAGTTGGATTGAGTTTTCAACAGACGTGTTAAAAAATGTGTCAGTGTGACATAATCATTCATATGAATACTTTTTAAAGTGAAGGCAGCAGTGTGGAGCTGTCGACACCTGGTAGGAGAGTCGTGAGTTCACATCCTTGACGGAGCACTTCTGTTGTACATTTGAGCCAGGTATTCTTAAGGCCAGTCAGTTCCATGCTGAATGCTGTAAATGGGTCACTGGGTTATTTATTGTAAGTCGAGCATTAAAAGCCCTACCATCTTTTTTCAAAGCTGCTTTTAATTAGATTCGGAAGATCAATTCATTGTATAGGTGTTTTCCTTGTCGATCTGCACCATTCACACCTTTGCTAAACAGACAAATGTCGAAAAAATGTCTGTGAAGGCCATCCTTTTATAAAATCAGTTATTATTATACATGTCAAAAGATGGCATGTTCATCTCTTGAAAGTCTAGGTGCTGTGAGGCAAAGTTTGGCAAAACATTGACAGTGATGAAACAACGTATATTAACTAAAATCCTCTCACAGTCCAAAAACATACTGGTAGGCTTAATTGGCTTCTGGGAAAATGGGCCCTGGTGTGTGTGTACAGTGATGGACTGGCTTCCCGTCCAGGGTCTGTCCCGCCTTGCACCCATTGCTTGCTGGGATAGGCTCTGGCCCCGGCTCCTCCACGACCTTGAATTGAATGAAGTGGTGAGAAGATGGGTGGGTGTTTTTTTTTGGCTGTGTACATGCTATGCTGGCTATCACTCTATTTCCTATTTGCTAAAAATACACCAAAAGCCAACCTGTGGCTGTATTACTCAGAGGGAAAAGATGTATCTGTTGTAGTCATGTGACAGGCACGTACAGTATAATACAACCTCACATGAACTACTCTGCAGGACTGTGATGTCCTGGAAATTATAACTGATTTGGTTTGGATTTTTAAAATAATTTTCCAAAAATGACTTCATATATGCTTTTTGAAATATACCCCGAATCACAACATATCAACCTAAAGGCCTCCTTAAGAGATTCAATACTACATTTTCATCTAACTTTAAATTGTAAACGTTTGTGCAGGAACTAGACCAGGCATGCAGTGTTCTCAAAAGAGGCAGATCTCTGTCTCTTTTGAGAACAAAAGTGGGGCACTTTGATCTGTTTGCTTTGTTTTTTTGTTGCAATGATAATCTGTGACACATTCAAAGTTTATGGGAATGAATACGATAATTTTTATATTTTTGTGCACTTAATCCATCATTGGCATGGAAATTGAAACCTGAAAGAATTTTCATTAAAAAAATAAACATAAATAAGGAGTTGATCAATTATATTAATTTAAAAGGAGTAGGCTAATTCTTCTGAATGCTGTCACATTTAAACCAATCTTAAAATCACAAGAGCCATACTTCAGTTTAATATCAGAAGTTGATCCAGATTATTAAACTGCTTGTACTGCAGCTCAGTCATTTCTACTACGATGTGGCATAAATAAGGAGGTAATTGATTTCAAGCTTGGCTGATTTTTCTCATTTGGCTTTTCCCTTTTGTGTTACACTAGTTTACTCATCTACACATTTGTTAATGACTCCAGGAGGTGAAATAAAATCATTTTTATTGTGGGCGGCACAGTAGCACTGTGGTATGTTCTCCCCATGTTTGCGTGAGTTTCCTGCAGGTGTCCCTTTCCTCCTACAGTCTAAAGACATACTTGATTCTTTAGAGAAATCTCTGACAGTGTTGCGCTAAAAGTCCTTTTTACAGAATCACTGTTGTTCTCTGCCTTCCTGTCATGGTGACAGTGTTCCGGTGCACTTCCTCTGTGTGCTGTGGTTACGCAGGTTTGTCATTTCAACATGATTTCTGCTGTAGAGATCCATATGTTTTACTGACGTCTTTATCATGTAATCCCAGATTTGCACACTGAGGTTCTAGTGGGTTTCAGACAGGCTTAGGAACTGTGGTCATGTGCTAGCTCACTACAATAGCAGGGCAGTATTAATATTCATTAACAGCAGGAGGCATTGTCAGTTCAAAACGGTTTGCATTCCACACACTACAGTTTTGCACAGAGATCATTCTGGAAAATGGATGTTGTAGGTAAGATTAACCTTTTTTTCTGAAAATTCCATACAACTCAAAACTAAGTTTTATTTTTTATTGACAACACATTCTCAAATTATTTTACTCCTTCACTGTTACTGATGTTTTGCTGTTATTTTACCTCATGAAGAACTTGGATTATTTTAAGGTTTTCACCTTAGGTGAGGATCACTTTTTGTGGCACTACAACTTTAGCAACTTGTTTTCCATTGGACTATTAGATAATGAAAATGTTTTATTTTGATCTTCTTACCATGGAGACAAAAGTTTAATAGTGTGTAACTTTCGAATTTGCAAATAAAACACACTATAGGACATTTCAACTTGTCACAGCATGCAACATAGTGATATGCAGACACTTTGAAATCATTGTTTTGTTTGTAATGAAAAAAATAATTTATTGGATGATATTTTGTTGTTTGAAGTTTTACCTTTATTTTCATTAATACTGTATCTATATATGGTGTCTTTCAAGTAATGTAGTGATTTGGAACGAACGGTTGTTTTTTTTCCATATACATATTTGCTTGTTTTAGAATATTATTGCTAAATATATTAATATACAAGGGAGTGTGAATGGTATCATTGTGAATGAAAACAGTTGCTGTAACATGTAGCCTGGTTATCTTGACTTGTGTAAAGGTTATTTTGCTAATAAATAGGTTTTAGAAAAGACTAGGCCAGTCTAATTGGACGAAAAATTCAGATACTAAACCAGTTGCTGTTTGTATAACAGGATATTTTTTACAAAACGCTTTGCAAAAAAAAACTTTCAAATCAGTTGACACTCTATGACAACATTGTCTCCACTAACCAATTTGGTAGATCAAGGGTAGAAGGCTTGCTTAGCAAGTGTCAACCTCACCCTGATTTTATCAGATATGTGATTTAACAGGTTGAGCCAACACTTTCTCTTTAAGGTTCTCTTCTTCCAAGCAATCAAGAGAACCTTAATGCTGATGTCTTACAGTTTGATAGATGTTTAAGTAGCCACACTGAGCAGGTGTGTATGAATTTCTGAGATTGCAAATTTATTTTCTGAGCTCTGTCTTGCTTAGCTTTATGGACAACAGTGAGTATATCAAAGGCAAATCAAGTTTTTCAGAAGACAACAGTGTTAGTCCTTTAAACCAGACAATTAGAGAGAAAACAAGTGTTTTATTAGTACAGTTGTGTGTATCATGGAGGAGGCCATGGTTGAATCCTCTGACAGAGAGATGTTTTTTTTTATAGAATAGGAAAGCAGTCCAGTCAGGTTTTAGGTGCTTATGGAGGCATAGGTTTAAATCTCACTAATGACATTGACTTTTCAAGATCTCTTCCCGCACCTTAAGCTTATGGGAGTGTGGAACACCAGCCAATACCCTAGCCTCTAACTACTGAACAGCCTAGACAGACCTCATGGCTTCCTCTTGTTTGAAATCTTTCTTATATTCCTCTGTACGACTCTAATCCCATGACTGATGCCTGTGCTTTCTTGTCAGTTTGTTCCATGGGCAACAGCACGAGCAGGCTGTACAGTGCCCTTGCCCAGACGCTGAGCAGCACCCCCCTGTCTCAGCAAGAACAGTACAGGGAGCAGCCTCTGGAGGTGGAGCCCATTGACCCAGAAGAGCTGCTGAAGAAGTGTGAGGAAGTGCTGCAAAACAGGCCGCCCAGACTGAACAGGAGCTTTGTATTTCCCAAGAAGAGCAGGCCTAGCCCCCACCGGCCAATCAGAGTCATGCAGTGGAACATTCTTGCACAAGGTATTGGAGGCATCAAACCTTTCGCAAATCTTTACTGCCCTACAAGCCTGACATCTTAATTTTTATGGTGCACCACTTGCATGTTTACATTGTATTAACTTTACAGTAGGTAACGTCCTTCCAATTCTCGATTTTGTTTTTCATTGCAGCTCTTGGGGAAGGCAAGGACAGCTTTGTGCAGTGTCCATTGGATGCTCTGAAATGGGCCGAGCGAAAGTACCTCATTCTTGAGGAGATTCTAACCTACCGGCCGGACATCTTTTGCCTGCAGGAAGTAGACCACTACTTTGACACCTTCCAGCCAATCTTCACCAGCCTGGGCTACCACAGTAGCTTCTATCCAAAGCCCTGGTCTCCTTGCTTGGACGTGGAGCACAACAACGGGCCAGATGGCTGTGCTCTCTTCTTTAACAAGGAGAGGTTTGAACTGGTGGACAGCACCAATATGCGCCTGGTTGCAATGATGCTGAAGACCAACCAAGTGGCTATAGCTCAGACTCTGCGATGCAAGGAAACCGGGATGCTGTTTTGCGTGGCTGTCACCCATCTCAAGGCCCGCAGTGGCTGGGAGAGGTTCCGCTGCTCTCAGGGCTCGGACCTCCTGCAGAACCTGCAGTCCATCACCAAGGGGACGGGCATCCCACTGCTCATCTGTGGGGACTTCAACGCCGAGCCCACGGAGGATGTGTATCGGCACTTTGCCAACTCCAGCCTCAACCTCAATAGCGCCTGCAAGCTGCTGAGCCACGATGGCCAGTCTGAGCCTCCCTACACTACCTGGAAGATTCGTCCTTCTGGGGAGAGCTGCCACACACTAGACTACATTTGGTACTCCCAGCATGCCTTCAATGTGGACTCTGTGCTAGATTTCCCAACAGAAGAGCAGATAGGACCCAATAGACTGCCTTCTTACAATTACCCTTCAGATCACCTGTCCTTAGTGTGTGATTTCAGCTTCACTGGTGAACCAGACAGACTTTTATAGGTCACATTCATAGGACTTGTAATGGTTACAAATTAATTTATTGTAACCATATACCATGTATCAGGGACATGCAACTTGCAGTACTTTCAGTGTGCTCCATTCTAGAATTTGGATACAACCTGTTCCTTAATTTTTTTCGTGATGCTTAGCTGGATCAATTTAGCAATTATGGAGCTGATTGTAGCAACATTTTGGAATGGAGCAAAATAGAAAGGTAGCAAGTTGATATATACATCTCAATATAATTTGTTTTCTACTATAGCTGCTAGTTTCAACTGTTCTTGTAACTTAATACTGCATTAGCTTTAAGATACAACTTTAAGAATTGAAAGAGCCATGGACCACTTAAGTCTTACTTCGTTCAGAAACAATAACAGTATAGCAGATTTGTGCAAATAGCGCCAGGACAAAAATAATTGAGGAATGTTCCTCTAGTTATAGACTTCTGTGTTTTAGGTTTTTCTTTAGATTCTAATGTTATATAAGTATATTACACATAAACTTAATAGGTAGTCCTTTCAAAATTTCCACTCAGTTTGTACGTCAACTTCTTCTGGAAAATAAAATATCTAAGTGGCCACTAAAGATCCATCTAATCTTTTAAAGGAGTAGAACTCGTATGTATCTGTTGGCAAACAAACTCAAGCCATACAGTGATAGTGTCAGATAGTGTCCACAAAGGATCAGGCCTCACGGAAAGGTCTTATAAAAAGGTTTTTAAAGTAGTACAATGCAAGAGATTGGCAAGCCAATGTAATATAGAGCAGATTTTAAAAGCTAGACTTCCCAACTCATTCCATTTCTCATCTGGAGTAATTAGACTGATATTACACAGTACTATTGCACATTTAAGGAGCTGGTTGTTACAAAGTCCAGGAATGGAGAAGGTTGGAAGGTCAAGCTGATTTCTTAGACAAACTAACTTAACAACAAACAAAATACATCAGCCCATTTGTCTCAGTATTTAAAGATTTAAAAACTATAAAAAGAGGTTATACTAAACCTATTTGTAGAATAACACAGACAGAACCCCCACTGTTAAAAACCAATAAGAAAAAGTTACTGTTAATATAAGGAGAACAGGACTGTAAAATGTCAGCACTTTCAATCAATATCAATAAATACAAATGTTTAATTTGCTTTTTTTAAAGCAGAACATACTATAGAAGGGTTTGGATGATTTCCATTTTAAAAAAATGGGAAAAAAATCCAATATTTGGTCTTGTAGCTCTATCTGTATACTGAATGAATTCAGTAGCGACAACTGGAAATTGATAACCAAGCAATAGGTATATTTAAAACTGCAATAATCAGAATGTTCTAGTGTTAGGAGTTAACCACTTAAATGTTGCTAATGATAAAACATTTTCAACAATGCAGTTTTATAATATATTAGAAAATCTGTGTCCTGCTATGGATGGATTGGGAGATCTTTTATTGATCAGAGTACTAAGTCTTCCTGAGATTTCCATATGTCTGAATTAAAATGACATTTATGAACTTTGAAAATTAGAACCATTTTATACACACCATCTTTAATGTAAGCACCTTAATAATGGCAAAAAAATGTGCAAATAAAATGAAACTTGTGAATTAAAACTGTAAAATCAAAGTGGAATGTGCGACTGACTGAAGATGTCTGTTCAATAGGAAAATCTGTGTGATCCAATTCATGTATCGTTTAACTTAGCTTTATTCATTTTTATTTATAGACTTTTTTTTGTCATTCCAACTGGTTGTGGAGTGTTTACAGTTATAGGAGTGTAATAATGGAAATTGTCAATATTTTTTTACAGTGATTGGGACTTTAGTGTGTATTAAATATTATTTTTCTGAAATTATTTAAATGTTGAAGTTGTCCTCATGCCTGCATATTTACTAAATGCCAAGAATAAAAAAATAATCATTATTGATTTCTGCTTTTGTGTTTTCATAAATACAGTAATTGATGGAGACCAATATTCTATTCAGTAATGTAAAGGAGGGAGAGATCCACTCTCCCCTGCCTTCTTGCCAGAATCACTTTCACACGTTTCACTAGATATGCACTGATACCAGCTGCACTAGGTGGCACTAGTGCAATTAATTGCTTCTAGTAATGCAGGTTATTTCAAAAGATTCTGGAAAAAAGACAAAATGTAAGAATTGTACTTTGAATTCTTTATCTCATTTTAAATTATTTTTAAACCAGGTTATCTGAAAATACCTACCAGTTGTTGTTTTTTAAATCTGTTTTCTAACCACTTCACCCAGTTCAGGTTGCAATGCAGAAAACAAAACAATTACAACTGAGGAAATATCTTAAACCCAACAACACTTCAATTTATTGTACTGTACATCTGTCTCAAAGGTTAACTTACTCCCCCTGGATTTTTTTTTTGCTAAGCAACTTAAGGATATTACCTGTTCTGTTTGAGCTATTACTACCCAGTTCCATTAAGTTCCCAGTTCCATTGAGGGCACGGTCTCACAGTTCATGAACTAGCAATTTGTGTCTCCTTCAAATCTCTTGCATTCAGACTCAATTGAAGGGCTGGACGATAATTACAATGCTCTCGAAAGTGTACTGGACTAAAATACTACCCATGGTTTAATGAAATCACATGGTTTAGTTAAACATATCAAATATAAATGGTACAATCAAACTACAAGACCATTGTTTTGCTTTGTAAGACATTTACAAAAATATAGGGTCTTTAGTGAGATCAGAATACTATTCAGACCTTAAAGAATCTGAAAAATCTTTTGTTGCATTGATTACATGAAATGTAATAAAAAATATAGAAATTAATATCTTAAGTTCTAAAGATAAACCATTGAATATGTCAATCTAGAGAACAGTAGTCAATATTGTGAAATTTAAAGATTTTTTTAAAATGTCAGCTGAATCTAATTAAATCATAAAAATGAAATGCTGTTTTCTTGCCATATTCCAATTATTATTAGACTCAAATACATATTTGACATAATTAACCATTCTAATTTAATTCTCTCAAAAAACAAGGGTAGCTGTTTGGATATGTATTGTTCTATTTTGAATCCCATTTTCATTTTTTTCCCCATGATTAATTTTCTAATGAGGAAGATACCTTTATTTTTTTTATCAGATGTCACTCTAGGTGTTCCGCAAAGATTCATTATCCAAAAACATCAGGTAAACTGTGTTGTGCTGGTGTTATCAGCTACATTTATTGTTTAATCCAATCAATAGCTCTGTTTTCATCAACCTACCCTTTCCTTATTAAAGATTGATGCTATTGAGACCTCAATCAACTTAAAAATATAAACTTATTTACATATTTGAATGGTTTCCCCATTAATTAAAAGGCTGAGATGAAGAAAAACCTAGGCATTCAAATCAAAATATGTCCTTTGAGAAACGTCTCGGAAACGTCATTTCAGATTTTTATTTTTAAACACCTAAAGTTCCACTTTTGAAACATCCAGGCTTATTATTGTAATACCTTTCCACACGTTTCTTAATTACCTCGTCATATTTCATCTTCACAAATTGTACACAATGCTGTCGCCATTTCCACAATAACCAGGGAGTTCAGCACATGATCTCGGCATTATTAAAAAAAACATCCACTTCCTGATGGATGTTTATGGATCAAGAATTAAGTTATAAATCTGTCTACGCATAAAGCTCTTTGCAAGTGTGGAGCCATATACTACATCAAAGGCCTGTTGATCCTCTTTGTCCTAGAACATAATTCTGCTCAGTGTTCCAAAGGTACAGAAAAAAAAATATATGCATGGGCTCAAAATATTTGCCTTAACGCCCTTGACTGTCATGATATGCTACCATTTCTAAGGAATGCTTCCTCTTTTGCTGTTTGTGAACAATAAAAGCATTTTTACAAACTGGGCAGCATGGTGGTACAAGTTAGCATTGCTGGCTCTCAGCACTGGGTAAAATTCTGGGCCTGTGGTGCTATCTGTGTGGAGTTTATATGGTCTCCCCATGTTCATGTGGGTTTCTCCACAGTCCAAAGACATACTAGTTGGCTAATTTACTTCTAGGGAAATAGGTCCTGGTGTGAGTGCACATTTCTGTCTGTGTGTTCTCTGCAAAGGAGTGGTTTCCAGTCTAAGGTGTATCCTGCCTAGTGCCTGTTGCTTGCTGGGATAGGCTCCGGCTCCCCAGCGACCCTGGATTGGATGAAACATTCAGGAAATGGATGGCTGGTTTTATGACTCCACAGATGATTTTAATGGTTATAATTTGGTTCGTTTTGCTTTAATCAGGACACAGTTTATCTCCACACTCCTTTCAAAATCTTTTTTTTTTTTTACTTTTTGTATCTTTTCATACTTTACATTTGTTTAGCACAGGAGTGCTCATTTCTATGAAAAGCGCTTTATAAAAATAAATTCTTCTTGTACATCATAGAAAAATCTAAAACAGTTTGTTGTTAAAGATTAAGAGTAGTCGTACTCACATTGTTGCCATCACAACCTTTCTATAAATTTGTATATATTGTTTAAATATTTAAATGAGAAAACTGGATTTGGTTCCTTTAAACCAAGGGTCTCCCATCCCTTAACCTGGATAAATCCAATGCAGTTTGTCTTGTAAATCACCTGAATTACCTGTTTTGTTTAGAGGAACACTTGCACGTTAATTGATTAACCAAATAGTCAATTCAATTAGGAGAACTCTGGTCCTTGAAGGCTGAAGAATTTTCCGATTTTACTGATCACAGTTGAAAAGTTCAAGGTCACAAGAAATGGATTCATTTATTTTCTAATTCATTTTGATTTTCTCTTCAACGATTCAGAACTCTTCCAGGCAGCACTGGGCAAAATGATCTGACATATTAAAATAAACACCTCACCGTTTATCAAATAGCTCTTGATGTTCTTTGGCACTGGAGTGAAATTGCTCACACAGAGATAAGTGCTGAAAAGATTAGGCTTTGTCTGTAATCCCACAAATCCAATTGTATTCAGACTGTCAGGGCAGACAAGTCATTCGAAGCTACTGGAGCAGACATAAAACACGTTGTCCGTTTTGAAGGCAGGGACACAGTTTAATACAATTGAAGAAGTGTTAAGGAAGTAATCAATATACACTGCAGTGTGCAGTACTAATCAGTAAAGATGTTATTACTCACCCAAATCATTGTTCATCAGCTTTTTTTAACAAAAGTACACATACTACAGCTCCTGAATGTCTACTAAAGGTGTAAAAACTGGTACTGGCAATATCTATAAGTTAAGGGTCTTCTTGGACTTAAGATAAATTGTTAAAGCACTGGCATATTAAAGCTGATGATTTTTTTTTCTTCTTAAGAATCTAAAAAGAAAAGCTATGGGGGGGAGCACAGACATGCTGTTCTGTCATATATAAAGGTCATCGAAACATTCGAAAGAAGTTTTTTTGTATTTTTTATATTTCAGTAAAATCTACTTGAATACACTTTGAAACAAGAGTACAACAAAATAGAATATACTTCAAATGTTGAATATACAAACTAGTTCAGTCTGAACACAAACTTTTTTCTCTCCCTCTTCAATTACTAAAAAAAAAACAAAAAAGGAAAAAGTTTAGAACGAGCTGCAAGGATGCATGCTGAGCGTGACCTTTTAAGTAGCAGAAATGCTCCGAAACTGAAATGTCCATACAAACGCCAAGGCAATGGGACACAGGCAAATTACAGCAAAAAACACTGCTGAAACTGAAATCCTGGAAAGAATTTTAAACTATAATACAAAATGTTGCCTTATTTCTATAATACTGTGCTTGGTACAAGGTTTTAAAAAAAACTTTACACATAAAGCTAGTTAGCTTATTTTTTTAGAAATGGAAAAAAAAACAGAAGAAAATGATTAATCTAAGGCTGCTTCTTTGAATTTCTTTTAGACTGTATAGCAGACATATACAAAGTCCCTTTTTACTTCCCTCATTCACAAGCTGTCCAGGAACAGCTTTGCCACATGACTCCACTTTCCAGGTAAATACCTGTTAAGCTTTCACTTAGCACCAAAAAAAGGGGTACTATGTGCACACAGTGATAGTCAAACAATTTGCTGGTTTGCATTTTAAATGCAGAAACTGTATTAGACAAAAGTGTTACAAAGTTTAAATTGTCCCACCCATTCCAAAAGATCACTGTTGGTTAATTTACTTTTAGTGTTCTGGACATTTAGTGTCTGGGTAAAACTGTAGTGTCTGTTTGGTCCCTTCTCTCATCCACACTGCAAAATGCTTCCTATGCTTCTGTTATTCACTGCTGATTCGCATCAGTCTCTCACGTGAAATTGATGTGGTTCAAAATCCCATCAAAAACCATGGGACGGACATAAAAAAAGTCTCAGATCAAGTCTTTTTGCAGTTTTTAAAGTCAGTTTGACTGTTGAATAATCTAAAACAAAATGAGCACTGGATGGTTTTGCTTTGTTTTTTGTTGGTACAACCAGATTATTTATTCTCTCACTGGATGAGCCTCTCAGTCACTGAGTTTGAACGGCAAATCTAAAAAAATGTCAGTTTAATGTGCCGTCTCCCAATCTTTCCCTCTCAGCATTCGGCCTCCTCTGATTTCACTGTGACACTGTCCACAGCTGTCGTCTCCCCTATGGGGTGTGGATGCGCTTCACTCTTCACTGTGGCTTGCAATGCACACTCCTGCTTGACCTCCGGCCGCCTGATGATGGCGCTGACAACCCGAGCTGGGGTGTGGCTGGCAGCCTGGCTGGTTTGCTGGTGGTGCTGCGCTGGCATGGCCAGTCTCACGACAGGGGTCCCTGGCGCTACCGACACGGGGGTGAGCGCTCGGACAGCCAGCGGGGTTCCTACGAGGTTGATATTAGAGGTCCCAGGCAGCCCGGACTTGGTGTTTAGCTGGCACTGAGCGAGTTGCGTGGCAGGGATGGTAATGATTTTGGCAAGCTGTACGGTAATCTTGTCTCCGTTCTCGGCAGTGGCGGGCATCATGGTGGGGATGGTCTGGATGACCACCTTGGGTGCCGAGGCCGTCGAGGGGCTGGTGTTGGTAAGGACTGAGGAGCCGGCAGATTGGACAGCCATGGTAGAGATCTTCTGACCCAGCGACGTCGTCATCACGACTGGCACCTGCATGGCCACACGAACCGTCCTGCTGAGATAAAGAAAGTTTTTAAAACCTCAAAACGGCAAGGGGAACTCCATGGACCCACACCAAATTCAGAATATAATTTTCAGAGATATCAGCGGCAGATAGGGTATAGCTTTTTGTAGTCACTAAACTTTGTGCATTATTTGTAAAAATATTTGTATTCCATAAACCTTTGGTCCTTTGAGGGGTTTTAAAGATTGAAGACTGAACAGAACCAATTCAGCCTACAGAAGTTCTGTTCTCAAGAACATCTGTTCTCAAAGGACAGGGAGGAGACTTGTTGGATGATTTTAACTTTTCACTGCTCATAAAAACTGTCTAGGATTTAGACTTACATCCTTCCAAATCAAATGCAAATCTCAGACTTTGACAGCTCTCATTTTTCTGAACTCGCTTTGAAACTTCACTGGAAGAAATATTTCCTTACACACACATGTGAGGCCACTTGGAGTGAAAAAAGGGTAGAACAGTGCTGGGTACAAACACTTACATATTGTAACATCAGAGCATTTAAAACAAATAAGCAGAAATAATGGTTTTCTAATTACATGGAGACAGAAGAACCTCATGCTCTTTTTCAGAACACGTTACTTTACGTTTTCCAGAAAAAAACTCTTAGAGCCCAAAGCATGAGACTGTTAACGTCTTCCACTCCGCTTCAGCTCCACGGCGGGAAGAAGGACCTCCTCACCTGGCTCCCGATGCCGCGGGAATGACGGTGGTGTGCGACTGCGGCGGGGAGGCGTCCTGGTGCTGCGCCGCGTACGTGACGCTCACTATCCGAGGCACGGGGGACGCGGACGCTGCGGTCTTGCCTCCCTTCGTGGGACTGTGGTGGACCAGGGTCCTCCCCCCGCCCCGCAGGATCCCGGGGGTCTTGGACAGCTCGGCGGAGGTGAGCAGGCTCTCCGAGGAGGGGGGCACGCGCTCGTACGACTTGTCGGCGGTGGGGCTCAGCAGCTCCTCGCCGCCTGGGTCGGATTTGTCGTCGTCGATCACCACAATGTTTTTTGGCATCTCTTTGAATTGGTAGACGAGCCGCTGTCCCTCCACCTTCGCCAGGATACCTCTTTGGTAGTAATACCTGGGCAAAGGAAAGGGTTCTTCGAGTCAATGTCAGACTAATTTCCAAGTCGTTTCAAATAATTAAAGCAAAATTAACTGGCTTGTGAATTTTGGGATTGCAGGACACAAAAATCTCATGCAAAACCTTCTATTCCACTTCTGAAAACAGTCTGAATTACAAAGTAAAACTAAGCCATTAACTTGTCATTTTTAAGCTTTCTACCAATTTACACAAACCTCACCACACCTGCAACAGTTCTACTGCAAAGCGAGCGTAACTCTGTAAATTTGACTGCTGTACCTATTCATACACATTGCAGTGCTGTTGCTTAATACCATAAGATTAAGATTAAAGATCTAGAGGCTGACATTATAAAGAGGTTTATTCAAAACAAAAAAAAGTTTGCAATAGATCCATATCCTTTTTTTTCACCTATATGTAAACAGCAGCAGCAGCTAAGCAACTACCAGCTGCTATATCACCCTGTAACTCACACCTGGCAACGCATTGAAGCTCAGCAGGTGTGAGCCTGGTCAGTACCTGGATGGGAGATCTAATGTGATAGCTAATGTGATAGCTAAGGTTACTGCTTGAAGAGGTGTTAGTCGGACCAATAGGGGGCGCTCACCCTGACAGGGACACTATACTGTAAAAAGGCGCCGTCCTTCGGATGAGACGTAAAACCAATGTCTTGGATCTCTGTGGTCATTAAAAATCCCAGGGCATTTCTCAAAAAGAGCAGAGTATCCTGGCCAAATGTCCCCCTGGTCTTTTCCAATCATGGCCTCCTAATAATCCCTATCTATGAATTGGCTTCATCACTCTGTTCTTCTCCCCACTGATAGCTGATGTGTGGTGAGTGTACTGGTGCACTTTGGCTGATGTCATCTCATCTAGATTGGTGCTACACTTTGAGTGGAGTGGCCAGAAAAACGCTATTTAAGTGTAAGGATTAATATTTAACAGTAATTTTCTAGAATTTCCTCAGTATGTAATAATATACCATTTAAAAAGCAGTTTTCACTGTTAAAAACATTCTTAACAGCTGCACACAAAATCTCAACCTAAGATTTGCAAACTGGCTAAATTACAACATAAAATGAAAGTACAACTACAACAATTGTCAGCGAATAAAAAACTGAAGGTGTGGGAATAGACTGGGACTCTGGTCACGCTGATCTCTATGGCAAATGTGCTTTGAGTAGCCAAGTGATGTTGCTAAAATGGCAGACCAGCATTAGAGTGATGTTCAAAACGTGATCCAAAAGGTTAAACACGAATCAAGTGACCAACAAGTTTTCTTTTTGTCACAGAATGAAGTTTGAACAATATCACTGGTGATAGGCGTGTGCTTCTTCTAGAAGATCCAGAGAATTCAGCAACTGAGAGCATCAATCCAGTAGCCAAGCAGTGATTTAACATCAGAAAACCAATTCACTAATCCAGAAGAAACACGACAAAAGTGGAATGGACACATTATACTGCAAAAGCATTCTGTAGTTAATGTCTTTAGGCTATTTTGTTATTGACTGTTCCTTGTGAAATATGCATTATTTCTGTATTTAAAAATGTTGGCAGTCTGAGAATGACATTTTAAAAAGGGGACTGGAGCAATGTACTTCTATTTCATTTAGTCTTTTCAAGCTACTAGCTTCAATTTCAGCTTTCAAAACTTTTGGAACTCATGAAGAAAATGAGTCTTGTGAGACTTTGTAAAAGCATGAGATGAGTGATTCTTATGCTTGGGCTGTTCTGTGCTTTTGGACACACATCTGCACAGAGGAACTGTCCCTCAGTAACCACTGACAAGTGCTTTTTTGGTCCTTACCTCAGTGCTCTGCCCATTGTCTCATAGTTCATGTCGGGTTTGTTTTTGTGTTTGCCCCACAGTTTGGACACAGCCTTGGAGTCCACCAGCTTGAAGATGCCCTTCTCTCTCTGGGTCCATTTGATGTACCTGGGGCAGGTATTCTTATCCTGGAGAAGATCCAGCAAGAACTCCCACAAATAGGTGGTATTACCTGTAAACAGTGCCAGAAAGAAACTTACAGACACATTGTCAAGACTAGTAGGGAGGCAACATCAATCAAAATCATGACAGATTACAATAAACTTCCACACAGTATTAAATTACAAGAAATTATTCAAACAAAACAAATAGCATTTCCCTAATATTTGCTAATTTTGTTCTGTGCTCTCCTTCATTCTGTGTGCTGTAAATTACCTTTGCCTTCTCTGGGTTTTTTCTTTATACCCAAATCAGGAGACCCATTGGAAACAGCTGCCTGATGAGTCTTTGGCTTTCTCCCTGCTAAAGAGAAGAGAAAAGCAGAAAAAAAATCAGTTTTACCAAAAATCATGCACTTTATTGATTACAGTTACATAGAAATTAAAATCTGGAATGAAACCACAAAACTTTATAGAGACTATCAGATCTCAGAAATTCATTAAGATGTGTTTTTTCTAGCAACCGGATAGAAACAAAGGGTTTAAGGAGATTATTTTGGAAGGGGGTGTCTTTCTTCCAGTTCAAAACAATAGGTTAGAATTGTAGAGAAAT